CGGTGGGCGACCCAGTTCCCGAGTGCATATTATAATTTACCTCATATCACATCGCGGGATTATGGGTCAGCAGCACATGCAAAAAAAGAAAAAATTCTTTATCGGACATCGTAATCACAGCGCGTAATTCCGTTTCGCTGAATTCCAGAATTATTATGCCCACGCTGGCAGTGTGAGCGCACCACGTACCAGCAACAAAAAATTTGTCTTCACTATGCCCCGTACACTAAATTCGCGAACTGTTCTCGCACAAGGCTCTCGCATCCAGCTGGGCCAATCGGGGTTCCCGTTAGAAACCTCTCGGGCATTACGTGGAAGAGTGAGCCTACTGCCGGAAGCGTAATCGTTTGCTGCTTTTCGAGGATTAGAAGCACACAGCAGCGGAGAGGGATGAGGCATGCGGGATTCCCGGGAGCGATCCTTTTCGCTTACAAACGAGGAGCTGCTGCGAGTGCACTTCCCGCTGCAGCACCAGCGCCCGGCGTGACGCAACACGTCCTCCGTCTCCGCCGCTGGTCTGCAGTGTAAAGCTGAAATTATTTAAAATAAAGGAGGTTGTGGTGTGCGTGCGGGGAGGGGATGATGGCCGAACACTGAGGCGATCTCCACATTGCGGAGGCCTGTGCGGATTGGTTAAAATGTGTGCTGAAATGGTAATCAATGTTGTGAGTGATATGCAAGAGATGAGTTGAATGAGGGGAGGCGGGTGCGCGTCGTTGCCACAACAGAATGCAAACATACCACTGAATGGGCAGTGTCGGGGAGGTGACATCGACGACGTCGCGACATCCAAGCAGCGGATTATGTTAATGGCCGTGGAAGAGGTCAGCAGCCCCTTCCTCAGAGGTCGTCGCTTAACATACAAAACACCTGCTGATAGTGGATTTTGACCCCATCACCATCCGACCTCCTTGCACCACTGATTATCGAACTGATTTCACTTCCCTTCACCAAAATCAATACTCCGGCCGTTTCAGGGCTTCCAATCACCTTTTGAGCCCAGACTCAGCCGTCCCTCGAGTTGCGGATCGCCCAAAAACATAAAACCACAAAATAGCCAGCGAAATTTAGCTTACTCTGCAGCGAGCAATGCACACCGTGGATGATCCACTTCTGCGCACAAACTACGCAACTTGCGAAGTACTTTGTGCCATCGAACTCAGTAAACTGTTTGTGTCGTGTTCAGAAGGGAGGAGCTGCAGCAACATACCGCGCTTTTAGAGGATGCAGGGGGAGGAAGGAGGTTTACGCAAAAAAGAGCATTTTCTAATGCGCAAACGTATCGCTTCCCAATTTCATTTTTGGCTTTGCTTGCTGCTGCAAAGGACGGTTGGGACGCTTGGAGCAGAGAGCGAGTGTCCCGCACTTATGTGATGGGAGTCGCTGGTAGGGTGTGTTAAGGTATGCCGCGGTCGCGATGCTTTTACGATGCAAAAATCTGAGCGAATAACACAGCAGAGCGCTCACCTCTTGAAGTGGGGTTTTCAGAACGGTTACACGGCTCAGGTGACCACCTCCCGGACGAGCATTCTCCTAACAGACACATATGTGGTGATGTTGCTGCTGTAGCTGTCATGAGTGATTACAGTCGCACTTACCCCGTGTAAGCAGCACTTGTAGCTAGCCTATCAGCGACGCTTATGAGCGGGTATTATTGAGCAGGATCAAAATTTGACTGCATTTGCGACAGAACTGCAGGACCTAAATTCAAGATATGTGACTTGCTTCACTGCTGAACCTAACCAACTGATTTTACGCACCCAAAAACGATACAGCTGTTTTGCTTCCGCTTTCCCGCATTACTTCATTTAACTGCCTCAAACGCACACTGCCTGAACGAAATAAATAGCGGCGCGCACAAAGGTAGCCGGATGCGTTTTGCGCATTTTCGTCCATGGAAAAACAGTCGATTACTACCTGGCTCCTAAGCTGAGGAACTGAAAATTTCACGTGCCGGCACATGAAAGCTAAATTTGAAAACACAGGTGGAGGACATCCTTCTAAATTTCAACCTTCTGGTTCTCCAGCTCCAAAGCTAGTGACTTTCGCATCAAAACTCTCACGTAATCGTGCGTAAGACCTTTGCATACTGGGGAGCTAAATTTGAGTTTATGAGGTATCTGAACAGGCAGGAAACTTCCTCCTCAAATTTTAGCCTCACAGCTCTCCTGGTTCCTGAGATAATAATTTTTCCCACCAAAACTTTCGCGAGGCCGCACAAGAGGCACTAGCATACATGCAAGCTGAATTTAATCCTGTATGGTCGCACTCCCCCAAAATTTCAGCTTTCTCTCTTTTGTGATTTTCGATATAGTAATTTTTCTCGTCGAAACTTTCACGAGGGCGTAACTGAGACCCAGGCTTAATGAAAACTGATTTTGAATTTACAGAGTTCATAAGCGGATCCATGGGGGAGGACCCTCAAGAGACACAGGCACCAGTGCTGCAAAATCCCGGGTCTGTTCATAAATAAAACTACAGTAACTCTAAACAACAGTGTTACCACTCTGTTCCTAGTTTTTTTATAGTTCCAGGGTGGGAAAGAGCTCCTCCTCCTCTCACCTTCCGTCGTCCCCCGTCAGGAGCCCCACTCTCCCCCATCCCCGTCGCCTCTCTCCCTCCCCTCCCTTCTCCCACCCCAGGGGTCTGCCCTGGATCCGCCTATAACAGGTTGCACGTGGGAAAGAAACGTTCTTGTTACATTTCAGCTTCCTAGCTGGTTCCCAGGATGATTTTCCCGCCAAAACTTTCACGAGGCCGTACTTGATACTCAAGTGCACGGGGAAACTGAATTTAAATTTTCTGGGTTTTTTTTCTGGGTCTTTTTCTGGGTCTAATTTTCTGGGTCGCAGAGGACATACCCACAAAATTTCAGTTTCCCAGCTTCCGTGGTTCCCGAGATAATATTTTCCCTTGCCAAACCTTTAGCGCCATACGTGTTACTCGTGGCACGGGAAGACTGGATTTAAATTTGCAGAGGACACTCTACTAAAATTTCAGTCGCCTAGCTTTTGTGGTTCCCGAGTTGAGAGTGCGGGACAAAATCTCGGACGCACACACACTGAGACAACCCCGTGACAACATGCGTTTTGTGCTGCTGTTACATCGCGCTAAACGCATAATAAAAAACGATCACTTCTCAAACTTCGCAGCTGTCGGTGGAAGTGAATTCACAGAATTTCCATGCAACGGTCATACTGAACTTCTACTGATACTGAATGTTTTTGGAGTATTTTTTTCGTCTTTTAACGCACTTCGGCACTTATTATTTGATTCTGTTGCCTTTTTTACCAAATTCTACACCTTGAAATAAGTGGGACACTAACTGGTAAAATATTTGAAACGTTCGTCTGACGAAACTACGCATTCTTTAGTTCAGTTTTATCATGCGTTTTTGCCTATATGCAAATTGCAAAAACGCATATTGGGACGACCCTGTCTGTGTGGTATGTATGTATGTGTGTGTATGTTTGTGTGTGTGTGTGTGTTCGTCTGTCCGGGTATTTCAACTC